CGGCCCCGCCCAGCTGCGGCCCCCAGGGCAGCCCCTCGCAGGAGGCAGGAACCGCCCCCTGCCCGATTCCCTTCTCACCCGCAGCGCTCGGCTGCGAGTGCAGCAGATGGAACACCCTTTCGCCGAGGCTCTTCTCACACGCGGGGCCTGGGAACATCTCCCCTCCTCGGGCTCCCTGCGGAGCCTGAAGATGTTCCTGCTGGCTGGGGCTCCTCTCGCATTTGTTGTACGCGCACGGTCTCTTTCGGACGCTGTTTTCCTGAGCGCTGAAGAAATCCAAGTGCTCACCGAAGCCTCGATCGTACTGAGCGTCGCCCCCAAGGCCGCTCCCGGCAGCGTTTGTTTCCATCATTTCTGAATTCCACTGACTGTCCCACGTCACCCCGGGGCTGGGATCCTTGGAAAACTTCTCTCCAGGCCTTCCTGGTACCTCTGCGTCACACGCCGTACTTTCGAAGCAATCTGCTGTGGGGTCCCTCTTTGTGCTTTCATCGTGCGCTGAAACAAGACAGATTTCAGAGTCTTTCAATTAAGGAAGCCACTTAAGAATATCCCTCCAAGTCTACAGCCACCTCCCGCTAACGGAAAGACAGAGTAAATAAGATGGGAGGCTTCGATACTGAGGGGAAGAGCCAGTACTGGCGTTCCGCTGAAACAAAAACTCCAGGAAAATAAAAGGTCTTTTTGCAATTATTTTTTTTAAATCTATGTGGAAATCCACTAACGCAACATTTCACCTTCACCCTCTCGTTCCGAAGCCCGAAGGGTGAGGCCTAAGTTCCCTGCCAGAGCAGACACCGTCCCACCTTGTGGCTCCCAGTGCCCTCCAGACGCTCCAGCGAGCATCCAGAGAAGCGAGGGCCCAGGCTGAGGCAGCGCAGCCGGCTCAGCGTGGGTGCACCCCTTCCTGCACGTGAACCCTTGGCTCTGCAGGCTGGGCGTCTGTGGGGAGACGCTCGCCTCGCCGTGCCTTTGTTGGGAGAGCTCGGGGCAGTGGCGAGTGAAGAGGAAGGCTCTCACCCCTCAGAAGCGATCCCCAGAGAGGCACGCCGCTCCGGACGGATGCAGAGGCATGGCCAGGCTGAGACCTGTCGGTCAGACTGCCCCCCCCTGCCCCCGAGGCGCCTCTCCTGCTTTCCTTGGCCAACATTCACCACCCCTGATAACCCAACCCAAAAAGGCACGTGGCGCCTTAGCTGCGTAGGCACAGCTCTGGATTTGCCGCTGGACAAATCTGTTCTGCCGACCCGCCAACTCCCTCGTTCTGCAATTACTGTTTCGCGTGACAAACACCCAGGGTTTCATTTCCCAGACCATTGTCACCAAAGCTCTTCAGCCCAGCTCCCTAACGCTCCATGATTTTGCTGTCCCCCAAGACCTGTGACCCTTCCAACCTCTGAGAGCTGCTACGGAAAGACTCCCCCGAGCATCACGAAGGACCACGGGTCTCAGCAGCGCCAGCCAGGTAAGTCCACAGTTACCTGCACCGCACGAACATCCTGAGCTCTCATTTCTCTGGCTGCGTACCGGCACACCAGCACACAAACGTGTTACCACAGGCCAAGCTAAAGCGTGAACATGAAAGGCACCAGTTGCTTGACAGCAATTGTCTGAGCATGTCCTCGCACTCCAGCAACTCCAGGTTATGCGTAAGCACGGACTGGAAGGCCTGGGAGGAGCCCACCCTGCGAGCTCTCTCGGAGCAGCTGGACAGCTCTCCCTCGGGAAGGAGTTCGGTGGAGCTGAGCCAGCCGCACACCACGGTCCTGGCTGACCTTCGTGGGGCAAAACCGTTCACGTCGGCAGTTCCCAGCACATTGAGAGTTTATCCCCTGATCTACTCCACAGCAACTTCCTCGCGTGCCCGCGAATGCTTAGACAGCTCACGTGAAGTGAAGGAATTCCAGGCTACCAACTGACTTCCACACAAACTGTCCCTCTGCACCCACTCGGGAGCTACACTGAGCGCTGCCGGGCTGTGGCCCAGGAGCTCGTACTCAATTAAAAATCCCCGTCCAAACTGCACACCCCTTCCCTGAGGTTAAGCCTCGACCCAAAGATGAATCTCCCTCTCTTAACTCCACCTCAAGCATGACCCATACTCCAAGTGTGCTCGGGACAAAACCTCCTCTGAAGGACCGTTAGCACGTTCATCCCCTGACAGCGCATCCTAAAACCGCTTTGCATTAAAGCCGCCTTCTCGTTTGCTGCAGGATAGCAGCAAGTCAGGGCTCCACGCTCGCCGGTACCAGGTTTAGACACCATCAAGGCAGCTGGAAATACAAACTTGATCCATAAGGGCTGAGCGCATCACCGCGCTTGCCTAAAGAGAAACCCCGAGACAGCGCCTAGGCCAGGTTTAAGGCAGCTGAAGGAGGAAGGAGCCTCTTCAGCTGACAGAATCTGGAATTTCTCTGCACAAATATTAACTGGCAGACTGAGGCTGGTTCCAGTTCTTTCACAGCTTACATGATAAGGTTGTGACATTTCATATAGCATAAAAAAAATGCTTTAAATTAGATTCACCATCCCAGAAATCTCAGCTGAAATCCATTACTGACCCAGACTTGGATCTGTAGAGATTTCTTCTTTCTCCAAGTCTTGTCGTTCAGGGCAGCGCGGCTCCTCCTCTTGTTTAATCCACGATAAAACGTCGGTTGCGTAAGTCTGAAATCCTGTTCACCAGGGAGAATTCACACAATTGAGAAACACTGGAGAAGGAGGCAAAGCTCGGAAGATTCGTGAGTTCACAAAGATAAGAAAAGCGCTGACAGAGCCTCGGGGAAGACAGGATGCGCAGAGCCACCCGAGGGGTAATTCCTGCAGCGGGAGGTTTTGCCAGGGAATCCTCACCTGTGTCGGGGTCTCCTGGGAGGTCCTCGCCCTCTGCGCCTGGCAGCTCCCTGGCGTACGCCTCCTCGCCTTTCTTGGCCTGACTTGAAGCCTCAGGCTCATAAACCACTTGCTCTGCTAAAGGAGAAAATTCCAGACAAGCGTATCATAAGAGCCTAAGCTCGGGACTTCACAAGGGCTCGCTTTCCCCCAAGCCAACCCTATATTTTACACAGGCTCCCATAAGCCCAGTTTCTTCACCAAACCTGATGGAAAGGTCTAAAAATCCCAGTTGGTCACGTACACGGGAAGCCAAGTAAAATCACAGTGGGGGCAAGAGGTAGAGCTGCTACCCTTCGTGAAGAGTAAAGGACAGGCAAGCTCCAAAGCAGAATATTTGCAATGCAAAGAGGTACCACCAGGTGAGAAGGCAGGGAACGGGTCCCTGGGCTGCGCGGCCTCCCCGGGTACCACCCGTTACAGCAACAGCTCTAGCAAGGAGTCGGTGCGCTCGCTCGTGTACGCAGAAAAAACGGAGAAGGGAGGAGGGAAAAAGCAACCTAAAGCTGCTGGATACGCAGGAGGAAAGGCACTGCGGCCCCTGCAAGAGAAGGCTGCACAGTTCTGCCTCCACGCCATCGCAGCCCTGTGCGGCGGATGGCACCGGTCACAGACCTCATTCCGCACGGATTTCTGCCTCCTCCAAGCTAACCCATCAGCCCCAAAACGCGACTAAGGCCCACTTTGTGCTAGATATTTAACCAGCTTAGAGCTATCAACTCGAGGCAAGCGAAGTAAGGAGTTTAAGGGGGAATTAAACATTTCCTCTTCCACGCTGCACTGCGTGGATGAAAACTGGCCACACACTCTGCAACACCAATGAGAAGGGAAAGACAAAACCCCAGCCCTCACCCGTCAGGACTGGTGGCGAGTCGGTTCAAACCCTGTGAGCTTTTCATAAAAGGTTTGGAATACATGAGAAGAGGTGGAAAAAACCCAAAACCCATGGAATTTAATCCCTCTGTTTCATTTTCCCTCCGAGGCATGCAGTTACTCACCCGGGCAGGGCTCTTCAGGAGCTTCTCCAGCCTCCTCCTCCTGCCGCTCTGCAGCGCACAACTCTTCCTCTTGCTTAATATGGATTATGCTGTCTTCTGTTAATAGGAACCAATTTCATTTTAATTCCATACACAAAATCAATTCCAACTCTCACCCCGTCCCAGGCACAGCAGCTCTGTTCTAGCTCACATTCTAGAGAAAACCTCACTTCAGTTCTAGTTCTCACTGACCACGGCCTCTTAAACAGACCTAAAATATTTGTCACAAAACCCTCAGCAGATGTTTCGGCTTCAGAAACACACAGGGCTTTCACGCAAGTGGAACGTCCATTTTGTCGCGGTGCCCACGAGCAAATGAAAATGACCCCGGGAGAGGAAAGCGCCACTTGAATTCTCCTTCTCGAGGTCTGTTTCTTTTTTGGCTCTGCCAGAGTTGTGCCAATCCCTTTTCAGCCGCTCTCAGTAAAACACACACCACTTCTAACCCATCGGAAAAGCGCTCGCGAGAACGATGAACGAAACTTACTGAAAAACAACCCCCCAAAATTTAAATACACACGGAAAACCAGACAAGCTAATGCTCAGCACATTACCCTTATACCCCTAACACAACCGATGAATACTTTGTGCACGTGCAAAACCAACGCCATTGTGTACATTTGTGCACGCAGACTAGAAACTCCCCTTGACAGCCAGCCTTCAGACTGGGAAACGGAATGCCATCCCACTTCGACTGGGGACGCAGCCTAACGGCAAGGGGACTGCAGGCTCGACACAGGCAGCTCAGCAACCGGGAGAGGGGAAGAAAGGCGGTTTGCTGTCGTGTTCTGGTAAGACTGGGAGGGATGAGATGCCCAACAGCCAGGTTTAGGAGACCACGCTCAACAGAGCGAGCGCCGTGGGGAGAGGCTGCTG